AACCGGCTCAATTCGAGCAATGTTTGTTCGATTAACAGGTAAAATATTCAGGATCAGTGAACTTTTCTTTTCCTTCTTGGTGCGTTGTGCCGGGTTTGCCCTACGGTGAACACTAAACGAACTAATCTGAGCCCGAACACCCATACAGTGCGGCAAGTGGGGCAATTGTGTGTAACACTAAACAACGATGCCACTGACAGAACCTACTGGTGTATCTTGGTATGTATCTGTTCTGTATCTTGGTATGTTGTGGTAACGGCTGGCGCAAAGCGCTGGCCATCCGCGCAAGAGCTTTACACCAGCTCTACACCACACCCTCGCTCAGTTGCCTTTGGTTGCAGGTCTTTTGGGAGCCTAAAGGCCTGTTATGTTCGTTTTTGTCGCCTCTTTGAATCCATGTCACAGAGGGGCGCATTCTTGCATGGTGAGTTGGAGGAGTGGGTGGAGGGAGGCGTGCAAAGAGATGAAACCTTTCCGTAAAATTTGTCAACAAGCGACTTTCCCCTTCAATTTCGCTCATTGATTTCACCCTCCTAACTCTCTCTCACAGTTTGGGGAGAGGGCTGGAACTCAAGTTGGCGGGGGGGGGGGGGGAGGGACTAAAGCATCCCCAACTGAATAGGTAACTGCACCATCGGTACCACATTGCCTGTTTATATACAAGGGTGTGTACAGAATTGCACAATGAGAGAACCAACAAAAAGGAGTGAAAACTGAGTTGAGCTCGCCGTAGACACACCAGATGTTGTGTAATGTAGAGCAGCATCGAGTCAGTATGCTCACGATTTTCCTATTTCCACTAGTCTCCCTGGATAAAGATTTCCTTCAACTTTTAGCCACGTGTAGGCACCACACCCCTTGGCAGGGAGTGAGCACGTGCCCTCAGCGCAGCTGTATATGTCGGCCACAGTGTACATACCAAGTCGGGAGCTCAAGTGCGAAATTTGACGTACAGGCATTCATCTAGTGAGTTGCTGAGTGATGTGGTCGGGTATATTGGAGGATATTGCGCCAAAAGCTGATGAGCGGACACTGGTTGTATTGCAATGGGCAGACTCACAATATATACTGGTCCACACGTGCCCACTCTCAGATCACTGACGCGTACACCCTGTGCACGTGTCCCTGGAAGACGGTGGCAGAAACATTGCCTTCCGGGTATTCAGGACACACGTGGGGTGGATGCGTGGCACACACGTGGGCGTTGCAATGCCACACACAAGCCGCGGTCACACGTTTCGCATCCCTTCACGCGTGGGTCACGCGGCTGGCCGCCTTCGTAGTTGTAGTTGTTTGGCAGACGTTCTCTCCGACCCGTCGGCTGAGCGAGGGCCGGTCACCTCGGGGTGGGTGACTGGGGGCCGTAACCCGAGGCGCGTCCTATCACAGACCGGTCCTGGCGCGTGCTACCTTGGTATGACATGGAGCGAAGGGCTTCGATCTCACAGTAATGCAGCAGACGCTGGATGGCCTCTCCTACAACGCGGAGCATATTCAATTGCGCAGAGGCACATAGTTCGCAAAAAAGACTTAGGGGAGGGGGGGAAGTAAGGAAAAACAGCGAAACCCTACCCCTAAAGTGCTCCCCAAAAACAGGGTTTCATTCATGGTTGGGCCCACTTCCCTTTTCAAAGTGTGCAGTGGTCTTTAGGTGCCCCAACTGAACAGAAACTAAGCCCCCTGCAAGAGTCGGCGCGGTGCGCATCGGGGCACATGGCCCGCTGGTGGCTGTCCAAAAACTCAGCTGACTCGGCCGGTCACCGACCTTTACCTACTTTGTTCCACTATCCATCGACATTGCTCGTGAGTATTGTCAGTTTGATTACACTTTTAGGTGCAGGTGCTTTCTGCAAGTGCTTGTGCTATATTTTTTCGGTTGCCGCCACCCCTTAAGACATATCAAGTGTACACGTCTCTCTGATCTGTTCGTACCAGGCCATGCCAATTTATCCAAAAGTATCTTTTTGAGTCTCGGACCACCCTCCATGAACGACAAAGGCGACCTATTTCCAGTGACTATATCAGACCGTGAAGCCCAGATGTTCTATGAATTACATCCGATTCTAGCATTATAAAGCTGCAGTTTCACATGTGCGTGAAATGGGAAGTCGTTATTTCGTAAACAATTTCTTTATCTCTCTAATTTAGGGGTTTGAACAAATCGTAAACTAAGACATACCTTGTCATCTTAGTTCATTTATTTCTACTGGACCTGCTTCTCATTGCATCATGGTCATTTTAAGGATCGCTTAAGTTTCTCGTTTGGGACGCCTGAATCTGTTTGTGGCAAATATTGACTTGTGGCAAGATGTGCACTAAACTGTGGGTACGAATTGCTTGTTCAGTTACATTATGTACATTGTTTCGGCACCTCTTTGCACTTCTTTGCCAATTATTTGTTTGGCTATTACAAGGCTTGCCGAAAAGACGTACCGATTCACAGACCGTTTGCCGACGGATGACTCCTGTTTCTGACGGATGACTCCAAGGGCACTGTGAGCCCCTGACCGACACAGGGCCTTGATCATTGTTTCAGAGCCACAACAATGTAAATCATGGGCCTCGGCCCGGCTTCTACTTGGGAAACGAGCCCCCTGGGCTCAGGCCGACACGGAGTCAACTGTTTGGCGTTAGTGGTCCCTGGCCGACACGGACGCCCGCATTATCTTAGGGGCCGTCAATCGGCGCAAGATGCCTTTTGCCTGATATTTCAGGTCACGGCCCTACGGGGGCAGGGGTCGTTTATGTGACCTACATCCAGCCCTTCGGTCCCTTATAGCCTCAAATCAGGCCCTTGATCGTTGGTTCCGGTGAGCACCCGGGCCCCTCTTCGGGTCTCATCGAGGATTGCCCTTGGTTGACTCGGGACCCCTTAGTAACACAGTACCCCTTGCCAATATTTGGCCCCTTGTTGGGCACTGTCGACCCCTGATTGATACAGAAGCCCCGGCCAGTGTAAATCATCTGCCCGGCCTTGCCGCTGCTTGGGAAGTGGGTCCTCAGGACTATACCGACTCAAAGCCGAGGACCCCATCTCGGGCGCCCATCTTTTAACCGGGCATACGCGATCGTTCCGGTCCGTCCACATCAGGTAATATCGCACACACAGTTTGGCAGTCACTCCTCTGTCATCCTACGACCGTTCCAGGCCGCTATGAAACGATAGCGCACTCAGGAGCATAGTTATAAATAGAGAAACTGCGTTGTCTAGGGTGGTCTTTTGCCCTTAGAATATAAATTGCTACAAGTGAGCCCATTTCATCACATTTGATGATTCCGTTCATATCCTCATGTGTGGGGCATTCCCTTTGAGGGAATGACCAGGTATTCTCTGTTGCTCTGGGAAGCTTTACACTTGTTTCGGGTTCTTTTCATATGGTCGCAAGATCGTGCGCTGTTGCTGGGACCCATTTAAATTAACACACCGAAGCACTCGATGCTCAGGGGCCCTCTACATTGATCCAGGGCACTTTCCCTTTGAATTCATTTGCGTAGGACCTTTCACTCCTGTCGGGGTCCTTTCTAATTTGATGCACTAGGTTTTACAAAACATCAGGTAACATCTAGGAGTGTGGTATATTAGAGATTATGGAGATTAGGGCTTTGCAGTACGTTGGGATTTACGAACTTTAGGTGTTATGATACTTTAGGGTCTGCGACACATTGGAGATTCATGATACATTAGTAGTTGCGATGCATTAGGTGTTTCGAACATGACGTGTCATAATTCATTGGTGGTTACGAAGGTTAGGTGGTGTGATAATCCGTCAAATGGGTTGACCGGCTGAGACACTCTTGATCGCTGTAGGGCCCTCCACATTGGTCGTGGGCTCTTCCGATGAAGTCAGAGGGATCTTACTCCGTTACCGAAAGCCCCACATGTGCTTGCGGGCGCCAGGACGTTGCGTCTGCTCTGGTGTGCGGGCCTGGCTATATCACTTCATGTACACATGTCCGAGGTTCACGCGGTGACGATCTCCGTTGGGGCCTCAGCCTTAGAGCGACAGTGGAATATGCGCCAAAGAATTTTTACGTGGATTTGGCGAAGATAATTTTACGCGCCGCCGACGTCGTTCATGTCATTTCCGTTGGTCATTGAAGTTGTTACATTTGTTATAATTGTGCACCAACTTAACACATTTTGAATGCCGCGATGTTCTGTATTCCTTCATAACAATCCAAGCAAAAACTCTGGATTAGTCATCAGCCATCAGCTGATCACATCGTCCAGCCGGCTGGCCGCAAATTTCCTTGGAATCAGGTGTTGTGTGTGATTTTGATGGCATTTAACACTCAGCCTATAAGCACATTTGGCCATGTCTTCTCCAAAATTCTAGCCTTAGAAATGACAGGATGCCCCGACTAACTGGAGAAAATGAACGCTCTCCTGTACATATGCACATACGCAGCATGTCAAGTTTTCTTTTTATGTACATAGGATTTTGGGTTCCCTCATACCAAACATCCTTCCTAAAAATCTGAAGATTGAATGGCCGGAATGCAATAATTTTTGGGGAGGGCCCCAAACTCCACCGAGGGACCCATGATTTTTCGTGCCCTCCCCCCCCCCCCTCTTGGCGAACGTTAGTTTCCTATTCAGTTGAGGAGGGCGGTGCTTGGCACCCCTCCCCCTTCCCCTTGGGTTCCAGCCTTCACAACTTCGAGAAGGCGGGGGCCCAAATCGAGGAGTATATATATATATATATATATATATATATATATATATATATATATATATATATATATATATATATATATATATATATATATTGGTTCATTGATATATGGGTTAAGTCATTTTTCGCTGTTCAGCCCCTCCTCTCAACTCATTACACGGAACGACGCCGCTGTGCTTGATCATTTCCCAATTTGAGAGCCGGCGATGATTTTACGGATCTATTCGACTGATCGGGCTTGCTGGCAAATTTGTGCCTGCGCGTAAACCCGTAGTGCGGGAAGCAGTAGCTTTAAATTGCATACACCACGCCCGTGGTGTATTTTCAGTCGTTCATGCTCAAACAAGTCAATATTTAAATATGTGCGAAAACATCCCAAGTCAACGATAGTCTGTGGGGATATCAAGGCCGAATGCATTCTCCGTTTCCAAGCAGCGGGGAGTGATGGGGTAAAGCTTGGATGGGCATTGGAATCATGGGGCAACATATTGAGCTGACAGTTGAAAGAGACGGGGTAGAATGGCAGTGTGCCGCGATGGGGTATAGAATAGGACTGTTTCATTGAGGCTTGAGTCGAATACAAGATGTCAAGGGACGGCTCAAGAACGATTTCCACTTTAGGCTACCCGAACAGAGAGGCTGTGCGAATTAAAGTCAAGGTAAGCTTACTCTCCCAGCTACATATAAAGCATGTGGCCCTCTGTGAAAAATAATTGCGAGGGATACTAGATGTTGGGATGTAACTGCAGCACTGGTGCAATTTCAGCACTGTCTTGGTAAGAAGTGATTTACGGGTATTTATGCATCGTTTTTTCCTTTGTGGAGGGTGCAGCTGTTCCAGGTCAGTTGAATTATGATGTCTAATTATTGTGATTGTGATATGAGACAAAATGTACTGTTCATATGATAGGAGCTCCTTTCATTTAAAAAAATCTGTCTATAATAAAACTGGCAAATGAAGGAACCATCATTTGCAGGTATTAAACATTGAAATGACCCAATTTGACATGTTCTTCCTTGAAAATGATTGCACTTTGTATGTGCCTAGAGAGAGACATGATGTGGAATACCCAACACATGTTGTCATTGCATATAATCACCACATCCTGGCAACATTTAGCAAGATTGGAAATTATCAACACTATTAACTGAATGCAATTTTACCTTTTTGACCAGCTTAACCATTCATTACTTAATGACATATACATGCTGTTGTTTTCAATAATTAATTCTTACAAAGTGGATGGACACAAATACATATGGTGGGTGTGCATCAGGCACAGATCCAGCCAAAAAGGAAGGTGTATGTACACCAGGTTTGCACCATCCTAAAATGTTGGGTATGTTATTGTTCCCAGCATTACACACACTTACAGTCCTGGGGTTAGCAAGTGTGAACATATAAAAATCCCCACAAAATCTCAGCTCAAACACCACCTATGCCAGCAGGCCAGTTTACAGAACAGACAAGGTCAGATCACCAGGTAGTCATAGAAAGATTTGAAGTGGGTGTGGAGATGGCTTATCATATCATAGGACTGTTGAACCCCATAATTGATATGCTGTGCTTGATTTGATATTGGGATTTCAAGGACCATCATTCAGCTCCACTGATCTGTTTGTATGACTTTGGCCCCACCCAAGACACCACTTCATTTTTTTATCTGTTGTCCACATCTTTGCCATTTCTCTTGTAAAGGCCAAAATCTGATGATTTTGCCCAAATTTGCCTGCATGGCATGCACCCTGAGCTCTCCAGATCAGCAGCACTGGCAGTGAATGCCTTTACCCCTTGGCCACTGGCATGATCTACATAATGATGACCTGCTTAGCTGGCTCATGTGCTGGTAAGAGGCACATGTTCTGAGGAGGTTTCATGTTTCAAGCTAAACTGTGAGGAACTAGGTTTTCAGGTCAAGCCCTGCATATTCAGCTTTGGCAAAAACATTGTGTACCATCTGGCAATTAGTGTGTTCAATGCAAAATTCACCAATTAACAAAGGGTTAAAGAGTTGACAGTCAGTTACCAAGACTCATACCATTGTTACATTTAGCATTTAGACACATAATCTGGACCATTTTGCTGAGTTTTAATGAGCTGTTCTTAGGTGATGACTGAGGTGATCACATTGTGACAGGTGACTTCTATGGCCATTTCTGTCTGGTACTCAAACTGCTTTGCCAACTGCAGAGGAAGTTAGAAGCTGAGTCAGTGCCGTAATGCCCAAACAACATCTACACACAGATAGGTTACTCCGTATGTGTGAAGGGGGGGGGGGGGGCAGAGCTCAGGGAGCACTGATCATAACATTACCAAATGAGCTGTCAGTGCTGTTAAAGCCATCAATGCAGGCCTATCAGCTTCCTGCCTCCCCACCCCTCCTCCAGGGCCGCATCTCTGACCACTACACCTGGCGACTGCACTTGCCCACCTCCAGCATATAACAAGAATATCAAGTGATGCCCACAAAGTAGTGCTTATTGGACATGACCAGTGCTCACTTCTCATCCTTTTACTCAGAATTGGTTGAGTTTGAAACAGATGATACATTGATGCATGATTAATCACCCTGACATGGTAAGGGTGCTGCTTACAGATGCATCAATCAACTAGGAAAAGACAATATTTCCGTGTATGCTGCCAATGCCAGCCCAAATTGGTGCTGTAGTGTCATAAAGCTAGTGTGAGCATTTGCAGTCTATGTGCCCTAAACTCCAAACATGCTGCATGGGCATCACTGGGTGGGTGGGGCATCACACACAGCACTCCATTGATCACTGAAGGCCATGTTGGAAACTTGGCAAGAACTTTGCATCAGTAGCTATTATTTTTGGAGGTTGTTGATGGCCACTGTACCCAGCCTTGGTTTTGGAGGGTGTTTGACCAAGTCTCTAGCCACCCTATATTTTGGAGAGTGTAGAAGCCTGATGCACAACTGCCCTCCATGTTGTAGAGTGTATTTGCCTGTCCTTATTCTTTGATAGTTATATCTGATTAACTTTATTATTTTTAACTATGTTCATACAGTGCAATGAATGTTGAAACCCATTGATGCTTCTAGGAGAATACAAGAAAACTTGCTTCAGTGTTTATTTTATCTTCTCTTTAGTTCATTGATCAAGGCTTTTGTTATTCTTTCATTTCCGTACAATAATCACAACTTTGTTTTTAAGACCTAGCTGCAAACAAATTAATGCATATTTTGTCACTAATTGATGTCTTGGGTATGCTCCAAGTAACCACATATGAAATTTATGATAGTTTCATTTGTCATCCTGCTGACCATATTATTCCATGTTCCATTTTTCAGAAGATATTGTGTAACAATAGAAAAACAACAATATTTTGGTGTAACTCACCTGTCACATTCAGAACAGTTGCTGTCTCGGTAACAGTAATTGAACTCCCTTCGTCAATAAGGGACACTTTTGCAGCAGTGAAGAATCCTGTGTCGATCCGTTTCCAGATGTTCTGGCCAGGGGGCCTGCCGCATCAGGGAGGGGGACCAGTGTATTATGTATCCCTCTGAGGGTCTCCATACTGACCAGTGGGCTACCGTCCCTGTATCGCCTGAATGGCAGCTGGAAGGACCCCTGGATGGGTCTGTATGCTCTTTAGCCCCTAGCCAAAACATTTGACCTGTGGAAATTTGGAGTTAATATTTCCGGAACGGAATTAGCAGTTGAGGCAGCACGAGCAAGAGCGATTATGTCATTGCATTGCGTAATGGCGAGTTCGCGAGTTCGCGGTGCTGCGCGTGGTATTCCGTCCCAAGCATCAGTCTGCAAATCACACTGGTGAAACCGCCCAGGATATCTTAAACGCGTATTTCGATTGATGTCACAACGCGTTGGAAGTACTTGTTTCCGATGGGTGGTCATTGCCGCCTGGCCGTCGACTGCTGCCGTGTGTGGTTGCGAGGCCGACGCCGCGCGGCGGATGGGGGCTGCAACGCCGGGCGTTGGCGCGTGGTTGCCTGACCATGACCGCCGCCTTGAAACGACGAGCTTTCTTGTAATCGATCGGAATGATTTGTTCATACATTTGGTTAACCAGTGTCTCCTGGTATTATTGAAAGTCAGCTATGCTTAAAAGAATAGCTCAAATGACCAAGTAAGTCTGTTTGCTGCCTGCCATGCAGAGGAAGGGGCGGTGGCTACATGTTTAATCCAACATTTACCTCTGTCACAAAAGCTCGCTGAACATACATTGTAACTAGTTGATGATTTATTTATCATATCCAGTATAATGTTATGCGATGTCGCCGTTTTAGCCGTGCTGATTACTTGTTTGTTTGCAGAAATATGAGGATGACCAGGAGCCCGAGTACCGCAAGTTCAGCGTCGACCCGCAGATCACCACATACAGCATTCTCAGATGCCTCCTCTCCAGAGCATTCGAACTGAAAGGGTAACTTGGCGCGGTGTCGCAGGACCAACACGTGACGGTGGTGTGTTCTAGGGACGTGCAGCTAGAATTCATTGAGCGGCAAATCTGTTTTTTGCAAGTCTTCTCTCATGGTCCGTATTGTAGTCACGTTACAAAAAGCTAGGAATTCATTGGGCTTTGTTGATCACTTTAGGGGATAATTATTTGCGGCCTTATGTTTCTGGTTGTATTTGACATGACTGTTTATTGATGCTTGTCAACAGGGAATTCGCCATAACCTACATGGCTATTGATGACTTTGGAGAAGAAACATTCCTGGCTTTGCTGTCGGACTGGGACCTTGATGCGGCCTTTCTCAGGTAAGGACGCTGAGTAACAGGACTGCCCATTATTTGTGTTGCATTACCTACTCTTATGAAATGTTTAAGCTGTTATTTTTTACATAAATTTAAGTAGTTTCTGTTTAATGTATTCTGCCATTGATCACCGTAGCTAACAACATGAGCATGTCAACCACACAAAGCTCCAGTGAAACATACGCCGCCTGCCCACCGGCGCCGCCACTTAATCCGGCCGCATTCCGGCCGACCATGAACGCCAGACCGCCGCGTGCATACGGTGACCGCGCGCTGCGCCGTCGGCAGCGCCTCCGACCCGTACCTGAACCTGCGGCTGGAGGTGCGTCCGTTCGACGTGAGCGGCGGCTGGGAGCCGGAGGCCGGCCTGGACCTGACCCAGCTGCGCAAGCCTTCGGCCGAGCTGCGCCCCCTGCCGGCGCCCGGCCGGCTGCTCGGACTCGGCAGCGTGCTCAACCAGGTGCGGGGTGCGCGGCCGTCAGCCGCCGCACTTGGCCGGCTTCGAAGGCCACAGGGGTGTGCGCGACCAATTGTGGGAGGCAGAGGAGTTCACCCAGGCGTACAGGTATTAGCGCCGTGCTTTGCGATGCGTGAAAACACCTGGGGCCGCAGCCGCAGAGTCGCAGGTGGCAAGTCAGGCGTGCAGGCGGCGAACATGAGATGGGCTCGGTACCGTGGCTCACCGAGTGTGTTGGCTGTTTCAAACCAGGATTAGCGCAGCAGCGCCGGGGCTGTGTCGTGTGAACCGCACGGAATGTGACTCAAGCAAGAAGTGTCAGGTGTTGTCACTTTGCACCTCTATCATCATATGCTTTAAGAGGCCCGCGCTAAAGTTCGCCTCTTCCTCTAACGCAAAGGCGTCCGGTGATCATAATCCGCCGCACGCGTGCCTGGCCATGCGTCCGTGAGTTTCCTTTGACCGTCGTCTGCCGTCGCCAGGTGCAGAACACGTTCAGTTTGATGTCGCGCGCGCTCAACATGGGCGACGAGAGGGCGAGCGCGCCGGCCGCTGCGCCGCCGCTCACCGACACAGAGTTCCACAACTACCTGGATACGGTCGGCCGGCTGGTGCAGCCCAAGGAGCTCCGCGTCGCCATCTACCGGGGCGGCGTGGTACCCACGCTGCGGTGAGTCGCCGCTGGGTGACTGCGGTGCGGCGAGCGCTTCCGACGCGTGCGTGAGTGAATCAGTTTTTCACGTACGGGTTTCGTGTTCGGGGTGGGATGTTCAGAACTCGTCAGCTGCCGTTTGGCTTCTGTAGTATTGCTCGGCCGTCCACGCTGGCCATATCAGCAAGGAAGATGGGGCTACTGATAATATGGCGGTCGCGGTTACTGGTCTCCAGGTAACAATGGCTGTCCCTGGTTCGCGGTTGTGTCGAGCATTTCACAGGCTCGCAAGTATCATCCAGCGTGGGATCTGAGACCCCCAAATTCAATCTGTCTTTGTACGTTTGCGTGCATCGACAGTGACTTATCGTTATCTCAGGAAGGTGGTGTGGAAGCACCTGCTGAACATCTACCCGGAGGGCATGACGGCCCGGGAGAGGATCGAGTACGTGAAGCAGAAGTCCACCGAATACAGGGAGCTGCGCGACTGCTGGATGAAGATGGTGCAGGAGGGCAGGTGGGCATCTCTCTCTCTCTCTCTCGTCTCCTTCTCTCCTCTACTCTCTCTCTCTCTCTCTCTCTCTATCTACCGAGGCTCTCGTCGCCTCTCGAGCTCTCTATCTCTCTCTCTTCTCTCACTCCTCTTCTCTCTCTCTCTCTCTCTCTCTCTACGCTCTTCGATCCCGCTCCCGCTCCCGCTCCCGCTCCCGCTCCGCTCCGCTCCCGCTCCCGCTCCGCTCCCGCTCCCGCTCCCGCTCCCGCTCGCTCCCGCTCCCGCTCCCGCTCCCGCTCCCGCTCCGCTCCCGCTCCCGCTCCCGCTCCCGCTCCCGCTCCCGCTCCCGCTCCCGCTCCCGCTCCGCTCCCGCTCCCGCTACGCTCCCGCTCCCGCTCCCGCTCCCGCTCCCGCTCCGCTCCCGCTCCCGCTCCCGCTCCCGCTCCCGCTCCCGCTCCCGCCGCTCCCGCTCCGCTCCCGCTCCCGCTCCCGCTCCCGCTCCCGCTCCCGCTCCCGCTCCCGCTCCCGCTCCCGCTCCCGCTCCCGCTCCCGCTCCCGCTCCCGCTCCCGCTCCCGCTCCCGCTCCCGCTCCCGCTCCCGCTCCCGCTCCCGCTCCCGCTCTCGCTCTCGCTCTCGCTCTCGCTCTCTTGCTTTTCCCCACCCGATCTTGCTTTGGCTATCCCACCCTTGCCGTCTTGCCGTCTTATCTCATCCTTGCCCTTGCGAAGTCAGACGCCTTGCGGTTGGAAACAGTATTGCCAGGCAAATGCATTTCCGGCTGCAGATGCGTCACCTGAGTGGCGCCGGTCATCACCGATGTGTCACCTGAGTGGCGCCGGTCGTAACCGATGTGTCACCTGAGTGGCGCCGGTCATCACCGATGTGTCACCTTAGTGGCGCCGGTCGTAACCGATGTGTCACCTGAGTGGCGCCGGTCATAACCGATGTGTCACCTGAGTGGCGCCGGTCATAACCGATGTGTCACCTGAGTGGCGCCGGTCATAACCGATGTGTCACCTGAGTGGCGCCGGTCATAACCGATGTGTCACCTGAGTGGCGCCGGTCATGACCGAATGTGTCACCTGAGTGGCGCCAGTCATAACCGATGTGTCACCTGAGTGGCGCCGGTCGTAACGATGTGTCACCTGAGTGGCGCCGGTCATAACCGATGTGTCACACTGAGTGGCGCCGGTCATAACCGATTGTGTCACCTGAGTGGCGCCGGTCATCACCGATGTGTCACCGAAGTGGCGCCGGTCATAACCGATGTGTCACCTGAGTGGCGCCGGTCATGACCGATGTGTCACCTGAGTGGCGCCGGTCATAACCGATGTGTCACCTGAGTGGCGCCGGTCATCACCGATGTGTCACCGAAGTGGCGCCGGTCATAACCGATGTGTCACCTGAGTGGCGCCGGTCATCACCGATGTGTCACCGAAGTGGCGCCGGTCATAACCGATGTGTCACCTGAGTGGCGCCGGTCATGACCGATGCTCAGGTCGAGGCGCCCGCCATACGGTGGTTGCAACGTCACGTCATCCCATGTGATCTCATTTGGCCTGATCTGACCTGACGTGACCTGATCTCACCTGATCTCAGATCACGGAGGAGATCCAGCATGAGCACCAACATGGTGAAGAAGGACGTGCTGCGCACAGACCGCCACCTTCCCTTCTTTTGCCGGTGGGGATGACAACATCAACGTCGTCGCGCTCTTCAACATCCTGACCACGTGAGAGACGCGCGCGGACTTCGGCGGACCTGTACGGCAGCCACGCGAGACGCATGTCCGGACATGTGCGGCGTCTCGCCGTTGGCCACCGGGCTAGGGGCATTTAGCTAAACCATAACATTTCTGTTGGAGACCGGGGTTGCTTTTGGAGATCGGAGGTGGTCCAGGAACGTAGCCCAGGGCGGTGGCGCCGTCGAGCCATGACCCCCCCCCCCCTCCCCTTAGCCAGGACGTTAACGCTGAACATTGAGCGATTGTCGCAGGAATCCGGTCGAGTTTGGGAACCTTTGTAACTTGACTCACCCGTAGCAGCAGTCTGGTCACGTACTCGACCGATGACCAGTCCGGATCATAGCGCCGCTGGAGCGGACTATACGGCCGTGCCACGCAGCAGACGGTCGGGCGGCGCGTGCCAACCTTACGCGTCGTGCGTCCGCGGCACAGGTACGCGCTCAACCACCCGTCCGTTGGCTACTGCCAGGGCATGAGCGACCTGGTGTCGCCAGTGCTGTACGTGCTGCAGAACGAGGCGCAGGCGTACGTCGGCTTCTGCGGCCTCATGCGCCGGCTCAAGTGAGTGCGTCGCCGCCCTGGGCCTGGCCCGGCGGCGGCGGTGTCTGGTGCGGCGGCGCCGGTCACGGGCTGCGTCATGAGGGCTGTGGCGATGCGTGTGGTGGAACAGGGATCGCTGTGCGTGTGCGTGTACGTGTACGTGTGCGTATGCGTGTGCGTGTGTCAGGAATAGTTGGGTGCGGGAGCTGGGGTTGAGTGCAAGATCGGTGCAGTAGAACTACTGAAGAGCATGTTGTATTCGTGCGTGAGTGCCTGTGAGGTTGGCCAGTGTGTCGGCACTATGATAATGTGTGTGCTGGGAGGCTGGTGCTAATGCTGCAGTTGTGACCAGCCGTGATTGTAGGCCTGTACCTGATGAGCGGCCGTGGGTGCCCCGCACCCCCTCCCTTGTTTATCTCGGCTCCCCCACTGTGGAGCACAAATCACCAAAGTCATCAACGTGACTGAATCAGCAACAAAACACCTGTATGTCCGAAACTCTGGGCTTACGCCCAAAGTGCATCACGAATCTCGGTTCCGGTGGCTCAGCCGGGCCACGCAGTTATTCTGGGCGTCACGCCAGGCGCGAAAGAGAGGTTGGTTCGTACGCGGCGTGTCGGGTTGCCGTGGCCGGAGTTTAGCGGGATTGCCGGCGCTCACGCCCGGCCCCGGCCGCCGACAGGCCCAACTTCGACATGGATGGGCTGGCGATGACGGTGCGTTTTCAGCATCTGACGGAGGCGCTGCAGTTCTACGACCCCGAGTTCTTCGAGTACTTGAAGGACAGGCAGGTGAGCGCGGCGAGCCGGGCCGAGGCGGTGCGGCGGGCCGCTAACGGCCAGGACCATCCGTGCTCTGTGGGCTGGCCCAGACCCAGACCCCAACCGTCTGAATGTCGTTGGCCCCTTGCAGCTATGGGACGTCCCGCGACGCGTTGGGTGGATCTGGTCTGATGACTTTCGTCTCGTGTCGACTGACGGCCTGGCGTGAAGCCATTATATCCGTGCCTACTGTTCTTCAATTACTCAAGCGTTGCGTCCTTTCTGCCCTTCCCCGCCCCGACCTGTTTTCGAAATAGCCTTGAGATCGTGAAGTCTGATTCACTCAGCTGACCTCACTCCGTCACGGACCGGCGTGGCATAGTCGGCCGTGCTCCCTGGCCACGGCTCTACCGTTTGTTGCGCGCCGGCGTCTGACCCGGGGACCCCGCATGCGCTCCGCGCCAGGACCGTCTCACGTGCCGCCCCTCCCCCCCCCTCCCCCGGCAGGCCGACGACTTGCTCTTCTGCTACCGCTGGCTGCTGCTGGAGCTGAAGCGGGAGTTCGCCTTCGACCATGCCTTACGGATGCTGGAGGTGTTGTGGTCCTCGCTGCCACCGGACTGTCCGGCCGAGGGTCTGCAGCTGTTCGAGCGGCGGTACACGGGGACGCCGCCGCCGGAGCCGGCCCGCCGCGCCGGCCCCGGCGGCGCGGCCGCAGCCGGGGGCGCTGCGGCGCCGTCCCACCACCGCCTACAGCAAGGTGTGCGCCATTCGCCGGCAAAGCTCGGGCACCGTCAGCCTCGGCAACAGTCCGCTGCTCAAGAAGGAGTTCTCTTCCAGCGAGGCCGCCGTCACCGGTATGGCCGCCTCCAAGCGCGTGCACAGCCTGGACGGCATCGCGGCCGGGGCGGGGCGGCGGCCGGGCGCAGCGGTGGCGGCGGCCGCCGGCCGCACCCACAGCGAGGAGGAACGACAGGCGCGCAAGGAGCGGGCTGCTGCGCGAGCGGCGCCTGCAGTCGGACCCGGAGCTGGTGAGCCCGCCCGGGGGCCGGCTGATCCGCGACCTGGCCGAGTTCCGGCGACTGACGCGCCAGCCGCCGCCGCGGGGCTCACGCTGGAGCTGGAGCCCAGCGGCGAGAGCGGGCCGGCCGCCGCGCCCGCCGCGCCTCCCGCGCCCGACGCCTCGCCCGCCGCTTCACCCGCCACGCCCGCCACGCCCGCCACGCCGTCGGACGAGTCTGACTTCGGCTCAATCGAGTGCCCGGCGGCGACCGAGATGCGGCGCGAGCGCGAGCGGCTCGAACGCTCCACCAGCTGCTTCATCGAGCACGCCGCCGCCGACGCCGTCGACATTTTCGAGAACCCGATCCTGGAGGAGGACGCTGAGGTTGGGCACGGCGCCGGCGGCGGGCGAAGCGCCTGACGAGGCCGCCCTCTCGTCGGTGGGCTACTCAACGGAGCCGGCGCCGCGCGCCCTCCTGCCGCCGCCGCAGGAGTTGGGCGGCGGCAACCCCTTCCTTATCTTCCTCTGCCTGAGCCTTCTGCAGCAGCACCGCGACATCATCCTGAGCCGCCGCCTCGACTACCAGGAGGTGGCCATGCTGTTCGACAAGATGGTGCGCAAGCACGACGTGACGCGCACGCTCGATCAGGCGCGCAAGATGTTCACCGACTACCTGAAGCGGGACTGGGGCGTGGCCATGGGCGATGAGGTGGCCGGCGGGGCGGATGTGGGCGTGTGATGCTCAGCCGACGGCTCTGGCAGACGACTCGCCGGCCGGCTCGTGGCTGGTCGGCGCGGGCGGCGCGCCAGCCGCAGGAATGTGATATCGATGGTCGAATGGGTGGGGTGGGCTGAGTCCGAGCTCGTCCGAGTGGGTCCCCGGCTGGGCGGCGGCGGTCTGCGCCGCTTCGGGGCGCAGGGGCGGAGAAAGCCGGCGGGGGTGCGTTCTGGCGACGGTGCTTTCCGGCACAACGATTGCGCTGTTTTGCTCGAGTCTCGCAGTCTCGTAAGCCTGTAGCTGATCAGCCGTTCCTTGTCGCTCCGGAGAGCGTCGGGGAACGGTTTCTCAGCTCCGCGAGGGCAGTCCGAAGTCGACATTCGTCTATTCCTGCTGCCTGGTGACGGCGGGGACGGCCCGCCGCACGCTGGGTGGAATGCGGCCCGGGCTGTGGAGTCGGCAGCGGGCGTCGAGGTCCTGCTCGAGCTCGCGAGACGACGGCGAGCGATCAGCCACCAGTCCCCGCGCTTAAACAAGCGGCAGACTTGACCGCGGGCGGCCAGTTCTTCAGCATTCCAGCGGACCACTGAGCGTCTTGACCAACGATATGCAGGGTCCAGTCCCGCATCAGGTGGCGGTGATTAGCAGGGTTCACGCAGCTTCGTCTATGGTGCCCGGCCATGTCAGCACACGGGCACTGAGCTCTCCGACCACGCCTCCGTGGTGTCTGAGTATGTATTTCCATTGCGGGTACGCTCATTCTTAGCTTGTTTGAAATCATGGTGTGGCGCAAGTCCGCAAAAGCCTGTTGCGGAAAGTTTGACGCGGCGTTTGCTTCCGTCGCGGTATGTCGTCCGTTGATATTAAGCGTTTGTCTCCTATGTTCGTTTATTGTGGAGTTCATTTGTCATACGTTTAATCGAGTGAAGAGACAATACGATGGTCATTATTCTCACTCCGATTTCGTCTCCAAAATCCTTATAGCTTTAAAGGCGGGGAGCACAACATGGGACGGTCTTGGTGCGGCCAATCGCAAAGATGCCGATCCGATATACTTCAAGCTAAAATTAGTTTTTAAATTTGCATGCCGTTCTTCATACAAACCTGTTCTTTACGCCGGCCCGTAACGATTTGTGATGGCTACTTGAATCATTCCGTTGCCTGCATGTGGCAAGACCTCGCCATACATACCCTGTGCGGCTGCTGCCAACATGCTTTATCATCGCCCTGGTTGCTGGGCCCAGGGCGCCGCAAACCTTTGGTGGTACGATGCAAGTCGAAAACGATAAATTGCGCGGAGGACGAGCACATTGCCCAGCGCATGAAAGCTAGATTTGTCCTCGTCCATATCGTCGAAATCCAGTGCGCCGGACTCATCGCGCAGTTTGAGTTCCTGCATTCAGAAGACAGGCGAGGTCCGCAGAAGCCGTGCTGGGAAAGAACCCACGACTCGGTCCAAACGCCCGTCGGTTTTGGCCGTCCGCGTTTACTGGACTCGACCAGATGCGTACTATGTACGACGCGTGTTGCGTGTCCAAGTCTCATCTAGGTTCAGCGTGGGATCTGCTCCCCAGGCGTCGCCTGGTGAGCCGCGTGGCACCCGCGCCTTGCCTCGCAAAGTGCAATGCATTCCGCGCCGCAGAGTGCGAGGGTAGCTCGCGAGCGGCTGGCGGCGTTATTCAGGCGGCCGGGACGGTGGTCGCGTTAGCTAGCTTCGCAGGCGTCCCGTGTCGTTTCGAGGTGTGCCGTTAATGTGTGTGGTTGGTGGTCCGTTCCGTTTTGCCGGGCTGGGGCTGGCGTGGGTGGTGGCGTCGCCCTCGGAGCTATTTATTCGTATTTATTGACTGAAATACATGGTGTGTCTTTCAGGCGTTGTTTGCCGGCTGTCGGGGGCGGCCGGCCGCGGTTGCGTGAGCGGAGACACGGGCCGGGCCACTGGGTGTCCGCCTCGAAGGTGCGATACGCTAGAGAAAAACGCGGCATGTACCGTGCGCCACCGCAGCACGCCAGCCAAGCGACCCCCTCACGGGGACTTCGGCAGTTCCCTAGATCGCTTCTTCTGCCAATCCATCGGGAGTTGTACGGCCGAGCGGCGGCGTGGGGCGTTCGTCGCCACTTGGGTGTGGCCTGAGGCGTCTAGCAGCTCAGCTTGTTCATAGCTTGGACTGAGATAAACATGACGGTAGTGCAGTGGTTAACGCGTCTGCGTTAACTACACATCTGGGAAACCAGAGGTACGAGGTTCGATTCCCCGCGGTGCCCGCCCTTCCTCGTCGGTGAGAGCTTGGGTGAGATGAGAGGTGGGTGAGAGGCAGGCGACGCCATATAGCCTCAGCAGTTGAGCGCGTCGTAAAGCCCCAATGACACATACACCAGTCCGGTTTACTGGATCGGATGACCAGTTCGGACGCGCGTCTCACGACCCGCGCCCGGTAAACCGCACTCGATCCTACTGCCCACCCATAACCGGCCGTACTGCCGCCGCGGGCGACGACCGCGACCTGTGGCGTTCGACACACGTGCTGTCGCCATATTGTCCAGGCCCGGCTGTCCCCTAGTCCGCCGCCGGGGCGTCGTCGCGCGAAACCCCTGAGGCGCTGATAAAGCGCAGTGGGAAAGGTGAACACGTCACAAAACGCCGCCGTATATTTCCAGAAATTACTCGACCGGCACAGGGAGATGCATACATAAACAGGTGATCGACCACTGACATTGCAACGAAGACCCCTGCCTCCACAGGTGGGCAGTAGCCAGCAGATCGCTGACATTGCAACTGACACACCTGCCTCCGCAGGCAGGCAGTAGCCAACAACCATACTGCCTCCACAGGCGGGCAGTAGCCAACAGACCGCTGGCGCTGCAACAGAGGCCCTACCTCCACAGGCGGGCAGTAGCCAACAGACCGCTGGCGCTGCAACAGAGGCCCTACCTCCACAGGCGGGCAGTAGCCAACAGATCGCTGGCATTGGAACAGAGATCCCTGCCTAGTCGAATCATCAATCATCCCCCATCAATCAGTCCCTGCCATAGTCGAATCATCGACCAATGTTCAATTCAAAATGATCGTGATTCAAACCCCTTTGCTCGATCCCAATTACAGTGACACTGCTCAACCACGACGCAAGTAATACCCCTGAGTCAGTTCACCGCCACCCACTTAGAGGACTATGTCCACACGATAAACCGAGGGCAAGTTTTTCGCCACCCCCGCTGAACCATGACACTAGCAATGCCCCTGAGTCAGTTCACTGCCACCACTGAAGAGGACTATGTCCACACGATAAACCGATGGCAAGTTTTCGCCACCCCGCTGAACCACGACACAATAATGCCCCTGAGTCAGTTCACTTGCCACCCACTGAAGAGGACTATGTCCACACGATAAACCGAGGGCAAGTTTTCGCCACCCCGCCTGGACCACGACACTCGTCATTCATCCCTGAGTCAGCTGACTGCTACCCACTGAAGGAAATGATACAAATACGATAAACCCCAGAGCAAAATTGTCTGTTTGGTGTGGCAACGAAGTGCCGGGTGCTCTGAACCATGATGAGCGCTCTTGCCTCCCCTTCCAAGCTCAGCATCCTGGCCGCTGAACCATCGACACTAGTAACATCCTTGAGCCATATCACTGCTATTACCAACTGAAAAGAATGATGTCCATTCGATAAACAAAGAGCAAGTTTTCAAGTTGTTCGTCACTAATCTGTTTCACCATCTGTTTGGTGTCGTAGTGATGGCGCCGGGTATTCCGAACAGTGATAGGCGCTCTCGCTTCCTCTTTCAGGCCCAGCATCCTGGCCACGCACGGCACCTCCTCATCCATCCTCTCCGTTTGAACGATGTACTGGAAGTCGCATTCGCAGATCGCACGAACTATGTCCTGCGAAGGAAATAAAACAGCGGCGTGGCTAAAACAGTAAAAACAAAAGCATTTGAATAGCATGAACAACCGCCCCGTTTCTACCACAACACATTCAAAATAATCGACTGTCTGCACGCGTGGATAAAATAAGACCAAAAAAGACTACGCAGTACATTCAAGATCATTCAGGTTCATAATAACAACATAGCCGCACAACCCCACGGAACCAAGCGGCGAAGATTAGTCACGGTTGCAAAGGCAACACGCAAAACACCGGGGAACACCTCAGCCCACACGGTTTGTTGATGTGCTCTCACGAACACATTAACAGCACACAAACCACCGTGCCGGGCCGGCCGAAGTCAGGCCGGGCCACAGCGCTGGGCCAACAGCCCCGCCCCCCCCCCCTCCACTGACCTGGGGGGGGGGGGGGTGGGGGGCACCACGGCCCCAATCTGTGGTGGCAGCATATGATGTGCAGGACTGCTAGCAGCACACAACAAGACGACGGCAAACGGCCCCTACAAATTCCCCTTGTGGCGCGGCATGTGATGTGCTGGACGGCGGCAGAACACAAGCACGGCAAACGGCCTCAGTTTGTGGCGCGGCATGTGATGTGCTGGACGGCGGCAGAACAACAAGCACCGGCAAACGGCCTCAGTTGTGGCACGGCATGTGAGGCGCAGGACGACAGCAGGCTCAGCAGGCACGGCAAACGGCCCAAATCTGTGACGCGGATGTGATTGTGCAGGACGATAGCAGGCTCAGCAAGCACGGCAAACGGCCTTGTCTGTCCGAGGCCTAGATCGGAGCCCGGTGGAAACGCGCATAAGGGAAAGCCAAGCCAGAAGATATTAGGTTGTTTTACCTTCTTTGGTCAACGAGCAGTGCTCACTGCAAGTAAAGTTTAATCAGTTCCACTCTACACAAATTTTCGTGCGAAGTTGTTCTATCCTTGCACCATCCGACGGACAACATTGCAAAGTTGCACAGCGACCAGGCAACTCTGGCTCATCGCATCTGGAGAAACTGAATAAAACAACCTCACACAAGCTGGCCCTTATTTTATTTATTTATCTATTTATTCATTTATTTTTGGCTAATCAGGCACATATGCGCATTTGACTGTACATACTACAGGAATGCCGTCTCAAACTCGTGCCTTCTTGCAAGGCTGTGCAAGCAGTATATTGGCATGCAGGTCCACATGCAAGCCCCATGTGCCAAGGCCATGTAATATTGAAAGGACGAGCACCAAACGACAACAACCACCACTCCAAGCGCCTCGCTGACAAAGAAGTCTTGCTCCAGCTGCTCTTTTGGACAGCATCGTCGACATAATGGTTGTCTGCAGGAGTGAAACTGAATGTTGGACCGAGCCCCATAATATGGGCTGCCACCCCCACCACATCTCTACAATGGTCGGGCCTTCAAA